TCCTTGATAATATTAAAAGTTTATTTGGTACATTTTTTCGTACAATGCTTATTTTTCGAAATATTTAGTTGTCTCAAGTTAAATGGGACACCCTGTATATATTGTACAACGAATGTAATTAATACCTTTTGGAACTCCCGTACTTCCGGAAGTATAAAGAACAATAGCGAGTTGATTGGAGCGCTCCTTCACTTTTAATGTGTCTTCTCGTTCTTGTCTAGCTTCTTTCAAGAGCTGTTCGTACGTCACGATCGAAGTGCCCTCGTAAATCGACAAATCCGCTGAAAATGGAATAGTATTTCTCTGCTCAATTATGCATGATGTAGAGATTGTATCTCACGGAACCAGAAAATATCAATATTTTATTCTTTCGTTTATTGTTTTATTATTACGTCAAATTAGAATGAAGCGTGACAACTTCAAATTGTTCTGCACGCAAAACAATTATCATTAATAAAATGATGAAAATACTACATCTGCGTGTTTTTGTGTTTGAAAATCGGGTTAAAGTTCACCGCAGTTGATAAAATCTTTTGTAATATTTACGTTTGGATTTTCGTGCGATGTAAAAGAATGTGCCACTTACCTCCTTCCTCCACCAATACTATTAACGGTTGCGCTTCTTCGAGAATGTGTTTCACTCTGGACATTGGAAATTCCACATCCAAAGGTAAATAGGCCATTTCTGCTTTTATTATACCAAGTAATATAGTTGGAAGTTGATGCGATGGTTTCATGCAGACAGCTACCAGTGATTGGGAGGCTGTTTCAACTTTCTCATATTTTCGTAAAGCTCGCGCCAATTGATTGGTAATGTTATCCAGTTCTTTGAAAGAGAGCGCGTGCTCTCGCCCCTCGTCATCTGCATAGAAATTTCAGATTCAAATATTCATTTTTTTTCTGACATGATAGATTCGATTTATTTAACATAATTTATTTTATATACATTATATTATTATTATCGTTATCTATTCATAGATAATTGATCGATTTATGGCATTAATTATATCGTAAATTTAACTATTTATTATTTATTAATAATTACAATTAATTATTGAATTGAATCACATTACTGCAATAATCTAATTATAAAAATGAGTTTACGGGCAAATGTTATTGATTTTTCTGGACAAATCTGTGAATTTATAACGATTTATTCGCAATAAATATTAATAAGTGAATGGAATTATGTTTATCACAAAGAAAACTCTGCCTTCTGCAAATATCATTGGCTTTATTAATATTGTTAGTGGTTTATTTAAGTAAAATTTATAAGTAACAATTTTATTTTGATCAAAAATAAGTTGTTTACAACAATTTTAAAAACTAATTTAAAACTTTTTTTTTAGAAACTAGTTTAAAACTAATTTTAAAATAGAAAACTGATAAAATACTTTTATAAAAATCACTCTAGACCAATTTATCGACTTCCGTCCTTTTCTATCGAAAAGCAGAAATCTTACCTTCGTAAAATATTGCTGTTTGATTCGGATGAGCTGCTGCTGCACGGCTGAATAGTTCATGCACTAAATCTTTCTCTTTGTGCTTTTCTGTCTGTTGACCTTTTAAGATCGATTGCTGCTGCAACGTACCCATATTCAAATTTTTCGAGACGGTTTACAACAACTATAATTTCTTGCCTTATAAAATCAGCGGAGAGCTGAAATTTAATTTAAAATAAACATTAATAAATGTGCATATATACAAAATTACATATATATATGTATATATATCTTAAAGGATAAATCTTACTTAAAAATCTTTTTCAAATCAATAGATAATTTTACGTTGCGATAATCCTATATACGAAAATAATAATATATAATAATTTTTTTTCAATATTATTTTCTTGGAAAAAAAAATCGTTAATGAGCATAAGAAATAGTACGAAGAATAATACGAAGAACGGGATTGCATTACTCATTGATTGGCTATCTCTTGCGGGACTAATCGAATGATTAAATTTTTCATAAAAATGATCGGAACGGTATCAATAATTACATAGTAAGTATTATTAACTCGCTTATAGCAAAAAAGAATTGTTTGCAATCTTTGCAACGTGTCGAGACATAAACACAACTGCGACGTTAAGGCATGATAAAAAATTCCGAGACGTATGAAATATATCTAAATAACCAGTGGATAATAAAAACAAGATTCTTAGAAAAAGTCATTTGCTTATCTGAAACTTGCATAATTATTTAGTCTATCTTGTCGTGTCTATTAATTAGGTATTGGGCATTGTAAGTAACGCGCAATTAGTGTATAAACTAATTTGCATAATGTAAAACTGATGTAAAACGAATTCATCTATAACATGAGTTATTAAATGTTTTCAAACGATTTTAATCGGAAATTAATTGTATTTTCAACTAATTTATACGATATTATGCGCTACCGCATAATAACTATCGTATAACAAATACCGTTACCGCTAGATAACTTTTAGTGATCAATATGTAATGATTGACCAATAATCAAATTGGTTATGAGAGGAATAAAATATACAGTGATGTTGAAATTGGTGAACGCGAACACATTTAGACCTGTTGATCGTTCTAATAACGGCTAGATTGAAATAATCTTGATTGCGTAAACATCGACGAATTTGGAAAAGTACACGTATTAGCTTGAAGTCTTTAATGTTGCGCTTATATCGGAGATAAAAACACAATATGACTAAAAAGCAACACAGCACTATCACTTTAGCATTTTTATCTATTATGATAATGCCTATTCTATACTTTAAAAGTATCTTTAATCTTCTGAAAAGCACTTGCACTTATTATCCACTAGAATCTGTGTCAAAAAAGATTATTTTTTATTAACTTATCGCGAATTATTTGTTACACCGCAGTAAATGATCTTCGATGTCTCGCGCTTTGTTCATCATCTTAACACTAAAGGCCATTACACATAAAAAAGTTTTAGTCGTAATCGTAAGACTTAAGCAAATTGACCAATCACATTGAGCAGTAATATAAGTCACTCTTATTACTGCTCAATGTGTTTGGACAATTTGCTTACGTCTTACGATTACAACCAAAATTTTTTTACGTGTGATGGCTTTCACTCACCTAGACACTTTGTTTTGCTTATCGTTAGACAGTAATACCTAACGGTAACTCCGACGATAAGCGTTTCAGTGAGAATTAGACACCGTCGATCGCGAAACTGCCGCCGTCAACGACTGTCCAAATACGATATTTCTGGCAGATTTCCTTTCACTCGTGTGTATATATATATATATATATATTCCGTTCCTGTTTTTAAAAACTGGCTCCACTATTTCGTAAAAGCGCGTGTTTCTCGCGAACTTTTTTCACTCTTCTCGTCTCTCCTGGTTCTCTTCCTTTTCCTTGAGGTCTTCTTTCCGGTTATTCCGGTTATTGATGGTTGTCCCACGATAATGTTCCTGATTTCTCTTCTTTCGTAGCAATTCAGCCAGCTTGGTGACCGTGGCGATTCTCCAAGTCGTTCTCCAACTCAGCCCGACCTTAGCATTCGGTCATCGGCTGGTCACCGAGAGAGAATGCCTTCTGCGGTTGATATAGCCCGTACTTTTATATAGAATCGGCCATGAGGACTCTGAATTGTTCGTTGTCCCCCACCGTCATCATTACCTTCGCAACTCTTCGCACCACTCTGTCTATCGTTGTTCTGCCCCTCCGTCAATATCTTCTGGGAGATCATCTACGCACGTCGGTCAACGCGAGCATAATTTTTTGTCAGATCAACTACGTAATTTAAACTTTACTACAACTAAAACCTGATAAATTGTTATTTTCAAATTGCTTAATAGAAATCTTATCATTATTTTAATTAATAACTTTTGTAAGAATGTTTAATATTATTATAATAATAACATTAATTGAAATAAGAACTTATGTGCTTTAAAATTTTATATCTAGACGAATTTGAAATGTAGAACAGCAAAAATTTATTTATTTTTATACTATGATAATTTTCAATGGCATTCACAATTCGAATTTTAATCATTTTATATTCTTGTTCTGTAATATAAATTTACGAATTGCTTCAAGTTCACTACATTCTGAGGTCAATCACTTTTTAAGGGTCAATTGACCGATCATGGATTAAAGTCAGCAACATTAAATCAATGACAGAAATTAATTCAGTCAATTGTATATGTAAGCTGTGAATCAGAATTTGATTAATTATGATGTCATAATTTTGAAACAAATACGGGTGTAATGAGGTTAAAAATAGTCTTTGTTTCTAGAAATAATGACTGTTTTTTGAATATTTTATAAAAGTATATTTTCTAGTTACATACATTTTATATCATGTGTTTAACTCACGTTTGACATAAGTGATTGAGAGGAGATTATCATTATTAATTGTACAATCACGATTCGACGCGTATTGCAAATTGATATATTTTATTTGTGACTGTATAAAAAGATGCTGAGACGATATGTCGTATAAAAATTACGAGTTGCTTTTGTTTAATATCGCAAAAAGTTTTTTAAAATGAAATAGTAACGGGTTTTTTATTTGTTCACGAAAGTATGATTAAGAAACGTAATTTAAATTTTAGTGATATGATGCATGATTTGTAATTGGAATAATATTAACTGAGTGACGTATCGATTGAGTTTCCGGGTAACGCAGATGACGTAGTGGTTTATCAACTCAGCATGCGTAGATTCAAAACAGGTATATCTCGCACATACGTGCGTCTATGACGATTTCTGTCTGGAACTTCCAAATGAAAAGCATTCAATGGAATATTCTCCAAGATGAATTCTTTTGCTGAAAGAAGGATTTCTTATTATAAACTTTGTGACATGGTTTGACAATTGCAATATATGCAAATTAATACATAGCTTGACATTATATAACTAGAATAAATATTTAAACGTAATTTTTTATATTTTTATTTTTATAATAATAAGTCTTGCTATATTTTTCAATTATAGTTTACTATTAAAATGTATTTATTACATGAAATAATTTTTATATTATTTATTATTATTTAATTAATTTTGAATTATTGTAATTTAAGCTTGCATGTACATAGCTACAATTTTTCTTTTTCGTCTCTTACTTATTTCAATAATTAGATAGTAGTTTCAATAGTTAAAAACCCGTTTATTGCTATATGTAGTGTTATTATTAGTAGCTGTCAGTTTGTGTAATCAGTTCGTGTGATTATTTTCTTAAGAAGTGGAATTACAGAATTATATTTCCTCTGGTTTTTCCCAAGATCGCAATCGGTTTATAAAAGAAAAAAAAAAAAGTTCTTCAGAAATATATTATAACTGTTCATCAGAATACTACGTCAATTTCCTATTTTGTTGCACAGTTATTAGTCATTTGGTTCGTAAGCTCGTGCTAATGTAATGAAAAGGGGAGATTCAAGCTAACAAGACATTCATTTTCCTATTGCACCGCAATCTTTCTATTGCCGCAATAAGTGCAATCAATAAAAATTTGCATGCGCCGATGTTAGGAAAATTCGATCCTTCAATATAGGTTTTTGTTAATAAAATATATAATTTTATACTCTTCTATAGAATACATCAAAATAATTTTACATTTTTTATTGTAGTTCTAAACAGTAATTTCCTGTATTTTAATTAAACATTTTTTTTTGTAAAAAATATTTTTTTATCTACGGATATATTATCGTAAAAAGAATATTTGTATCAAAATTTCTAGTACGAATTTAATTTTCTATTTGAAAAATCATAAATCTATTTACCTTTCTAATATGATGCACTAGATTAGTTTTATTATTCGAAAAATGTGTGTGAACAAACTCAGGAGTTTTATTCGTAATGCTATGATACTTTTATGCCTGTATTATGAAATCGGGTTTGTTGAACCCGAAAGGAAAGCTAGAACTCAAGGTCTGCGCTTGCTTCATATTTCGTCAAATGTCATTTTCGTTTCTTTAATGCAGCAAGACACCGTTCTTTATTATAATACGTAAAATATTCTTTTGTCACGTCCGTAACGATTACCTAATTGCATACTGATAATAATAATTTCTTAATAAACTAGAACTATTCACAAATTTATTTTGCAACATTACAGTTTTTGCTGTTAATACAATTATGTTTTATTTTATGTCAGGTCTACGTCTCATCAAGGCTTATTGAATTATTCATAAGATTTTTATTGAAATTGCAAATTATGGATTGTTCGATTATGGATTTTAGCAAAGTGTTTTTGTCAGAATGCAATTAAAATTGTTTTCACACGATATTTGAGAACAACGTTATATTGTTAAAGGAAATCCCACTGCAACGCTTCCTTATTAGTTTTCTGCCAGGTCAGTTTTGTTTCCCACTGACACACGCTGATTCTTAGATTAACCAAAGACCGTTATGTGCTAGCTTATGAATGGAGGGAACGTATTTTCTAAAACAACGTGCATACACTCGATATTATTATGTGTGACGTATGCGATATAAATGAAAGTAAACTCGTGAAATAAGCGTGTTATTGAACACACTATTAATTATCATAACTTGCGAGCATGGACCATTCAATTCTAATGCTGCAAAACTAGTCTGATAGGGAAAAAATTCATAATGTACTATAGAAAGGATAAATATTTAAACATTACATAGAAAGATTATAAATACCGTAATTAATAAATATGTCGTGTAGAAATTTTTAAATTGTTTTACATAAAATTGTGATTTTTTTATATCAAAAATTGATATATCTAACCAAAATTTGACTTATAATAATTTATTTGTCTCATTTCTCATTTTATTGATTAATAAATAAAATAAAAAACTCTTTGTAAGCTTTTATATGTTATAAAAATACTATAAATATAATTGAATCTTATTCAGTTAATTTCAAATAAACATAGTTTTAACTAAACGTTTTAATTATTAAAATAATGCAAAATACAAAATTATTGTGAAAAAGAATTATATCAAATCATAATGCAATTATTATAATACAATACAGGGTGTCCGATAATTGCTGAATCACCTCTCGGATGCAGGTAGAGCGGGTTAAACCGAGTAGAAAAGTCCTCTATCATTTTTCGAATTTTGTAATAATTAATGAGAAATTAATTTAAAAATATCGGCCAACTTGCGCGAGTTTAAGTGCGCAGCGAGAAGAGACCCGTGGCGATACAGCTCACTATTATTTGGTTACTAGGCGCGCGATGAAGCGTTGGGAGAAGCACTCTACAATTGACAACGACAACATACGAGCGGTGCGTAACGCTAGATCCTTGCGTCCTAGCGATTACGTAACAGTGGGCTGTCTCTTCTCGCCGCGCGCTTAGACTCGCGGAAATTGGCCGATCTTCTTTAATTAATTTCTCATTAATTAATACGAAAATCGTAAAACGGTAGAGAACTTTTCTACTCGGTTTAACTCGCTCTACCTGCACTCAAGAGGTGATTCAGCAATTATCGGACACCTGTATATAATAATGCATATTATAATCAGCGGAATAACTACTCGGAGTTAATAAATTATCATAATAGACTTGTACAGTGTATGTTTTCTATTTTATGTTTAATTTATCACAAGTGGCACACTTTTTCACATAATTTAAGTTTAATTAATACACAGGATATCGTTACACTTATCTAAATCGTTGCAATAGGTGACGAGGTCGCGCAGAACAGCCGCTTTGCAGTAGCAAAGAATAATAGTTTTAATTAAAAATGATTTTACATAAAAATGATCATTTTTTTCAAAATTTTTTCTATTCTGCACGTAATTTTTTCTATTTTACAAGCATTTGTGTTGAAAATCTCTAATCATTTTATCCGCAGCTAATCCTTCGCTATTAAATACCGTAAGGTCAGATAAAGTCATCTTATGCGTAATCGTTACACACTGTTACTTAATGACATCAATGAGAGGTGCGCATAACGCGCGCATCGCCAGCATTCGTATACTTTCACTATGGCAGTAAGTGAAATCAAATCTATTGAGGAAAATAATTGATTTATTCTTTTGTTTTTGCTTTATTCCTTGTAAAATGTCACTTTATTCGTTAATTAAAATAATACAAAAATGTGTAAAAATTAATTATTATTAAACGTATTATTGTGCTTGAATGGAGCATTATGGCAAGCAAATTTTAATATTAAAATACATCACAGATTTTAGCTCTTCAGTCCTGATGCAATAATAGAGAAAAAGTGCCAGCGTTGAGGACTTTAAAGGTAGCTGTGATAATAATTAGCATTAGTGTCAAGAGTCCTTATTAAAGCATATGCACATTACATGCACATATAAACAGAATGCACTCGTAGAAATTCTCCGAAGTATCTTACTGGATTATAATTTTTTTTATTGTGAAATAAAGTGGCAATTACAACTTAATCCCAAAATGGTAAACTTCTTTATCCGGACAGTCATTATATGGACAGTCATCTCAAGTATTAGAACTGTATCAGAAGTGCGCCGTCACGAAAGACGAGGCGTATCTACAAAATTTTTTCCGTAACACGATCACTTGCCTTGGCGAAAGCCAGAGTATCGCACATTGTCCTAAGAATTTGATTTATCATTAGAATAATTAGACGTGTGCGGGAAACAGATTGCTATCGAACGTAGCAACAATGTAGGTAATTATCGTTCCGCGTGCATGCACCTCATGCGAACACGCAGATATTCGTGATTATCTTCTCTCTTCAATCGAGAAAGCTCGTCGCACTGTTTGCGTTCCTCTTCGAAGACCGATATCCGATTATCTTGAACGGTCGCGACGACGTGCGTTAGATGGATATGTTACGCAACCTTGATTGGCTGTTTGATTGCGTCAAGTGATGAGAACAATAGCCCGTATCCATCCAGTCAGGCACATAGGCCCCATTTTACCATCTTAATCTACGACATCCGCGGTAACTTTATCCTCTATTGTGTGGCGCGCGCTTCCATGTGCCGGAAATTTTATTCTGTTCTGTTTTGCCCCGCGAGAAAAAATGAAGGTCGATTTTCGCGAATGTTATGTGTGTCACGCGCCATTGGCGAATAACCGCATGATGAAGACGATAAAGCTTTAATGTTCGTGATTTGCAACGAACAGTAAATGAAAGTGTGCGACGTATTTATTAAAATTTAGCTGGTTGAAAATTGTATTTTTGCATAAAATCACAAAATATACATAAAAATAATATAAAATAATAAAAAATTTGCGATGAAAATATTTTAATATTTAGCAGTACGTGAAAATAATGAATTAAAAATTATTTTAGTTGTTAGTATATGCAAAAATATTTTAATATTTAATTCAATTTAATTTCAAATTTTTTGTTAGTTTTTCTCCAAGTTTAATAGTTTATTTTTGTTACAAGTTAAGAAAAATAAAAAATGGTTCTTTTGAATATGTTGCACATCGCAGCATAAACTTAGTACTTATTGTATTTATATAACAGTAAGATATAATAGTTGATCGTCTTTTTTATTTAAATAATGAATATGTTTATGTAACATAATAAAACTGACATATGTAACCGTAAAAACGTGTATCCATAGCATGCAAAATATTTTAAGCAATTATTTATGAAGCGAAAAAAACGTTGTCATAACGATGCATTGAAAATACCGCGATAAAATGTTAATAAGATCTATTAATTACTCTCGCTGTATCTCTTTATATAATATCTCAAGAATTTATATCACAATTACTATGATTTAAGTAAGAAATATTTAATCGCATCGTTTATTGTACGAGATGAAGGAATTATGAGATTTATTGCTTTTTTATTATTACTTGCTTGGTAATACATGCATCTGCGTATTGTACTTCTTCTCATCTAACACTAACTTAATTTATTACAACTTGTTTATTATTTTTACGGAATACGACAGTAATAAACAATAAATGGAGAACAGTGCTGAATTTCTTGCCAAAAAATGCTTTAAAACATTTTCATATTATAAGAGATCTCATCATGGTATAAATAATATTATTATGAAAAATATTTTATACTATAATTACGATATACTATAGATAACTGTCGCGACAAAACATTCATAAACCAACGTTTCAAAAGATATATATAACAAGCGCTTTCATTTCGCGCTATAACTTCAAAGCAAATTTCTACTTTTTACTAGGAACATTTATTTCATTTATTATTCACGCGGTCCATTATTTTCAACCCTCTCAAATCAAACGCTTTTCTCGGATACGGTGCTCCTGTCGCTTCCCATTCTTTGTGGAGCGCGCAACGCTCGCTGGTTGCGGGTGGTTATAGTTGTGGGTAGCTCTCTGTCGCTGCCCATTCTCCTTAGACTAGTATCTCTATCTGAACGATCTTTACTCTTGGGATACCTTGGCCCACGTACGTTCGCGTAGATAACATAAACAGCAAGAATTCCCACCAAGAACATCGCGACTCCCACGCCGCTTACTGTGCACACCTGTAACGTGGAAATTAAATTACGTTGCGCTTCTGAAATGCCGGATTTCCGTAGATATGTAAAAACGTGGACCTAAGAAGGTCTGAGGTTTTCTCTTTTCTGCTACACTGATTTCATCTGTAACACGAGAAAGAACTGGCTACAGGAATATTAATTTTAATTTTCAAAAATATAAATTTCAGGAGAACATAATGTAAGATTTATAAGAAAATCTGAAAGTTTACTTACACGATCGGTCACAAAAGTAATGAGATGCATTATCGAAGTACTTACGTTCAATAATGAAATTTCTGTAATTTTCAAGAAGCACATTTTTTTCTTTCTATAATACATGATTAATGGTTCAATATTACTTCATATGTTCAAAGAATGAAAGAAATCCGCGAGTCACGTAAAATATTCTTGTTCAACGGCGACGTGGGGGGCGGGGGGGGGGCTTTAAAAAGCCACTTTCATTACTTTTGTAACCGACCTTGCAAAATAATCCATCAAAGGCATATCACCATCGTCCACCACTCGTCGTCGTTCATTCCCGAAACTGGGATCTGCGCCGCGTCGCTGTCCTTCGCCTGCAGCATCCTGATCTCCTTGACAGACGCGGCGCATCCCGTTCGCGGTACATTCTCTCGGTTCAGAAGTTCCCTGAATGTGTACGGTATGTCCTCGTCGTTTCCTTCTCCGTGACTTTCATCCGTTTCTTCCGTGTCGCTCTCTTTATACAATTTACTTTTGCCCCAATAAACCTTCGTCTTGTTCTTGCGTGCAATTACACTACCCAAACTCTTCAGCTCGCCTGTCTTCGTCTTCATAGACAGATCGAGAAACCTCGGTGCGGCTTGCAACTCCGCATTGTGCGTTATTAACATGTTCGTTACTACGTGATTCCAGTCCGAAGGATTTATCTGGTTTTTGCATTTGTTGTTTGCGCTATTCACGGGATATATCATTAAAAATCTTATGAAATCTTATTGCAACCACGATAATTCTTTAAATATAAATTATGATGTGATAAATTGTGGAGCTGAGATGGAAATTATGCCTGCATAGCAACGAATAATTGGTAGTAAAGCTTTATTTACCAGACCGATATTATATAATAGCTTAGCCATTCACTTGACTCGCTTTACGTTAGATGCACGATATCGATTGATTAATTACACTTGTTTTGCAACATTATCGTATGTTATTAGCAAGGTTGGGAGAGTTACTTTATAAAAGTAACTCGTTATTTACCGTTCTTTTTTCTAAAAAGTAACTCGTTATCGTTACTCGTTACCAATTTTAAAAAGGAACTCGATACCGTTACCGTTACTCAAAAAATAACGAATTGTTATAATTTCCGTTACTTTTTTTATATATAATACAAATTTTATGCAATATTTTTCTGATATAAGATTAAATTAAACACTACAAATTTACAGTAAACATTAAAAATTTTTAAACATTATTTTTTATTAAAGTAACAAAAATGATATAATTTTAATAATGATATCGCTATTAATATAAAATATAATAATTTTAATAATATATAATAAAAGTAATAATTTTGATGAGATATTTTAAATAAGAAAAATTTTTAATAAATTGTGAACAAGCTTTCTTAAAAATTTTTAGATGCTGTAAATATAAATTAAAAAGTTTTCTTATTGTTAGTTTTTCTATAAATTCGTAGATATAAAGAGTAAATTTGAAAAATGTAACGATAAAAGTAACTGTTAGATTCGTTACTCGTTACCGAAAAATGTAATAAAGTTACTTTTTTCGTTACAAAAAAAAATTTGTAACGCCGTTACCGTTACAGTTACAGAAAAAAAGTAATTGTAACGGTAACGGCGTTATAAGTAACGCGTTACTTCTCAACCCTGGTTATTAGATCGCATATTTTATTGTTAATGAGATAATTACGCGAGATGATTATCATGGATTGTTAAAAGTTTTGCAATGCTTACCATAACGCTTTTAAAGCCTTCACATAAATTTTTATAGCACTCTCCAGCCATCTGACTTGCCTCAACTCCGCGGCATCGTATTTTCCAAGACCGTTTCCAGGCATCCACCATTGTGAATTCTCGACTCTCTTCTTTAAATCGTTGATATTTCTAAAACAGTTTTAATTAATTGATTATACAGGGTGAAGTAGGGTAGAGTACAGGGTGGAGTATGAAAAAAGTAGAATAAAATAATTAAGTAATTAAAATAAACATAATAAAAAATGCTACAAATCTATCTGGGCGCTCAATAATAAATATTGTCGAAGTGTTGTCTATCGGAATTGACACAAAAACTCAAAACCTTTTGAAACCTGTTAAATACACTGTTTTTAAAATGACTGGGAAAATATCTGAAATACATTTTTGAATGCTCTGTTTTAGCTTATCAGTGTTTTCCGACGGACAACACTTTGAAAATATTTATCACTGAGCACTTAGATAAATTTGTAGCATTTTTTATTATATTTATTTTAATTACTTAATTATTGTATACTTCTTTCATTTTATATGGAATAAAATTGACGGGTTTTCTCTACAACATTTAATTCATTTCATTCGTTGCAAATAGCAATTTACTTTAGACACCTTTCTAATGGTCACACTGTACATATTTCTTAATTAATTTTGAGGTATCGTGTGTATTTGATCTTAAGCCTCTTTTAAACATAATATATATGTGAAATAATATACGCTATACACTTTAAATTGATGTTTTTTAATTTTAAATAATGGAACTCTTTCTAGAAATTATGAGAACTTTAGATTTTTAAAAATCTGATCAGAAATTATTAAAAAATCGTCGAAGAGCAAACTGAGATGCAGCGTGAACCTGGCGTTTCAATTTGTCCTAAGCCATTTTCTTCGATATACGACCGGAACTAATTAATTAATTTATCAGAAACTCTAGAAATAAAGCCATAACTTTCAATAATATGTGAGTTTTCACGAAATGAGACGGCAGCTTCACACACACATACTAATTTGCTATAGAAATAGAGCAATAAAAAGAATAGTGGAAAAAACCAAACTAGCTATTATGCAAATTTATCATATGCATTATATTAATGCAAATTTTATTGCTTATTTCTCACATTATGCACATAATTTAACAATTAAGTTTGCAAATATATTTTTTATACGACTGGGTTGGCGACTTTAACGCACTAGAAGTATATAATATTCTCTTAGCTCTTCACTATATCCCACGTGTTAGTAATTATTTAGTTTTTAGCAAGTCATTCTTTTATTGCGTTGTAAGTGTTGTGAATAATTTTTTGCAGAGAATTATTAAAATTTTTTTAATTTCTGAAAAGATGACGAAACAATTATAACAATTGAAAGTTATTCACGAAAAGGAAACGATGGCGCGTGTTATTGCAAAGCGGCAAATTCACACAATGTAGTAAGATTTCTTTGCGTCGATTTAAGAATGACCTCGACGCGGTTGCTGTTCCGGAGAATGAAACGGGTAAGGTGCTAGGAAAAAAAGAAGAGTTCCGGTAATTTTACCGCGATTTATCGAAGATCCTTAACCTCGATAGAGCCCGACACATTCGACGGAAGTAGAAATCGTCATTCCGGACAGGTGTGTTTATATACGGTGTTTTAGTGAGTATGACACACACGTGATTGGTATAACGTTACTGACTTTGTCACGCAAATATAATTGAGGTCATAAACGCGTAACCACCAAGTAGTAACAAAATCCGCGTAATAGCGCTAAGAATGCACTCGCGTTTTTAATTAAAAGATCCCGCAACGGTTCTGCTAATAATGGCATTACGATGCATTGGATGTTAATGGCGCAAAAAATCGGTTTTCATCAATTACGCGTAATGAGTCGAATAGTTGTGTTAAAATCTGCAGTAATTTACGTAGGTAACCTTCCGCACTCAATTACTCGTTTCTGTGCAATCGCAATCAATAACTCATTAACATCGCGTACGTAACTTGCTAAGTTTGCGATTAATAATAGAGCGGGTAGCGAAGAGATGCGCCGCTGGTATTACATATTTATGGGTATTTGAAGCTCCTTAAGTAATTTATTATAGAGAATATGATAATTATGCATATGACGATAGTGATCAAAATTTTATACTTCAAGATTCTGCTTCACTCTAAAATATATCGTATGTTAGGAATTTAAAAAAAATAGAATTTTGCATAATTTACAAATAAATTTCGTAAAACTTTTTCATAATTACCTGGAGTCTTCTAAGAGTAATATGGTGTTGCTTGAAGTTATTTGATTCAAGTAATCTTTTAAATTTCCCTCGCTGATGATCAATATAGTTGCGTTCGTGGACTTATTGAAAAACTTCTCGTTTGGTTTTCCAATGTGTACGATTTGTGACGTGTAATCTATAAGAATCAAACTTATATAACATTTTGCCATTGAAAGAGAATAAAAAGTGAGACATTTCTGTGTAAGGAAAGTAAAAAGTTATATATCTTTGTACTTCCCTGTACAAGGAAAGTAAAACAAGGTTTTATACCTTCTTCATCGCTATCGTGAACTATGACGCATAAATTTTTTATTATGGCATTTATTGTTAGTTTTTTTGCAATATTTTGTATGTCATCATCATTCTCATTATCAGCGTTAGCTATTAACGTGAAGGACTTCCATTTTAAAGTTTCTATCATTCTCAAGATTCCCTATAAATAAAAAATCATAGTATCGTATTTCAATCACTTTTTGCAACTAGATTCATTTTAACTGAGTTTAAGTTTCGCCACTATAGTTCTATATAAAATATTTACTTCTAGCAACTATAATTAAATTTAAAAAAATTTTAATAAATCGTTATTAGAATCTCCAAAATATTTCAGAAAATGATATGCATACATGTGTCGAACGTTTATCCACGCGGTAATTAGAATGTAATAAATAATATGTCAACATCAATAATATGAATCCCGTTAAATAAATTTTGATATTGTTGTTTTCAAATGCTCGTATAAACGAGTTGCAATATTATCGGAATTTGCATTATGCGGAAGTAAACTCAGCAATATAGTTGCTTTGTTGAATAACAATCTCCATTTTTACAAAACTTCAAGGCTTTTTCTCGATAAATTATAATATTATCAATCTATGTAACAAGAGCACCTGCACTATGCAAGAATTCGATTCCTCCGCTAAAAGATGTAAATACGGAGAAATCGACGGTTTTTTGATGATATGCGGCACTTTCAGTATCGACGTCACTTTGTGCACCTCTTCGGCGTTCGTCGTGGTATCCGGTCCGATAATTCCTGAACAATTAAGGGACGTTTAAATTGATCGATCTAAAATTACTTCAGTACTTAGGGAATACAAATTTAGTAAATCGACGGTGCTTTCGTTTACGGAAGCAAAGTTGTCAGGTTAGTGATTACCGGCGGTCACTGAAGGGAAATTTAATATCGAATACTTGCACAAAATGGTGAGACAACTATTGACCTTACCTAGATAATGAGGTGGATGCAAACAGTTGATGTCCGCCCACACGAGAGCCTTCATCACTGCTTTCAGAGCTCCCGCAATACTACCGCATGTATCCAAAACTGTAATATCTGAAAATAGTTTGCGATTAATATTTTATTCAACGTTACTGTGCTTCCTCTCTCTTTCTCTTTCTCGCTCGCTTCGTGTTTAATTTATTGATCCAATTGATTGGGATGTAATTAATTGAACGTTATATTAAATATATACGAGTATTCGATTGAAATTAACTGCTCTACTTTATATAGATCTACTTTAATTTACCGATTTCGAATCCATTGGTTCTGTTGTTGTAAATTTCGGCGAGAAGCTTGGCGGCCTCATAAAGCATAACGCCCTTCGTCGATAACTTCGTACATGATGTATCATCGTGTACACTCGTTAGGAATGAAATTTGCGCGATCTTGCTGCATTCCGTGCGTGCACCGCAAGTACACGCGGCGATCACTACGAAAATTATGCACCAGACTCGTGGAATGCCCATATTTTAATTATCATGGATACTTGATCGAAATTCTTTTGTTCTTATTTCGGTATTAGACAAAAATTTAAAAAAAAAATAATTCTGTGATTATTTATTACAATAAGATATCGATATCGATTTAAATTAATACTAAATGATTAAACACAATTTTTTTGCCGCACACTATGACACACTTATCAACTTAAAATAGTTAAAATTTATTTTACAAATAATTATTAGTATCGTTTGTAAATTTAAAATAAAAAGTGGTTGTGAAATTTGTCTTTTTTGTTTTTAATCACGCGTTGCTATTATAGTTATACTATCATGATTGAATTTATCGTAACCACACAGCGCTTTGGAATTATATTACATTTTATTATATTATGTTTTAAGCAAACACATTTTTATTACACACATGGCAAGTTTTATGCGTGCAGAGCACTCTATTTTGTGATATAATGTTCCTTTTAAAACGTATAAACAATATAATGTTACGGTATAATGTCTGCCGTGACAGATTTTACTGAACTACCTGCCTCAAGTGTGAACCCTTGATATTGAATTCCGGAAGCTTTATAAGGTAACCGATGCGATATGCTTTAAGCGAATTTCTAAGGTTTTAAACACGTTCTTGAATAGCAGAAGCTCTCAAAATCCATCTTTTAAAAGAGCTATGAAAAAATTTTATATATATAAATTTTATTGAACAGTAAGTTAATTTGTTTGATAAATTATTTATTAAATTAGTTATTACATTAATATAATATTATAATCAATTCCTTTATTCTTTTTATGTTTTAATATAAATAAAAATATCTTTTTTATATTTATGGCATTAAATAAACAGTCACGTGTTTTTTCTATTTTTTTATTAAATTATTATATTTGATTAAATTATTATATTTGATAAATTTTATGTTGTCAGTATTTTCTAGGAATCTTTTCATTCAACTCAATTATAAACTTATATTTGCTCTTTTCCTTAAACACTGAAAAAAGTGTGCAAGGACATCTATTTCTTACTACGTTACAAAGGATTTCTTTATATCATATAATTACGCCGCTTCAAAAAGCAATTATTAAAAATGTTATTGATAATTTGAATGTACTTACTGGATATTTTGTAAATTATCATTATTAACCATCAAAAAGATACTTTACTTATTTTTTTATATATAATTTATTTTTATATCAATCTATTTATATCACAATTTATCAGATGGTTTGCATAATTTTATTGTTTTTTAATTGATGAAGATTGCTATATGAGAACCACTTTTAATTTACACATAAGCTCCTTAATAGTATATTGGTTACCAAGAAGAATCCTATTTTTAATCCTTCTTACATCATTCATCATTGCGTAAGCATTAGAAGAAGTAGATTTTATTAAAACATTACATGCATTATTTTAACATTACTTTACAACATCTGTTACATTTTTAATCACAATGTACCACGAGTTTATGTATTATTTATTGGTTAATATGAGTAAAGTATAGTTTAGAAAAAAAAATTACAAAAATTATTTAATAAGTTGGTTAATTAATGCTATCTTTAAAAAATTTCTGCTCTCATATTTTTTTTTAAATACATACATATCTTTTTTTAAATACATACCTACATATTATTACGATTGCATATAAATCCATTTTTTAAAGTTAATTTAATGTATATAAATATTTATTTATAAATATTATTGCTGTAGAAGATTGTTTAAATTAAAGCTAAAGTTTAAAAATCTTATACGGAATATATTTTTTATATAGAACAATGAAATCAATTTAGATAAAAATATTAATGAATAAGTTACATGTGCTATATTCACTTACAGTTATGATTATAAAATGACAACGTTTGTAATTTAAAATATTCAAAGACGTGCGCGTATATCAACGGCGCGTATATAACAGTCCACTTTTTTTATCAATTCTGATCTTTTTAATAAATAAGATCTATATTACTTGGCACTAATTATATGGATTCTAAACTTCTTACAATTTAATTTTTTATTATAATAAAAATTGTCGTGGATTTTTATTATATAATAATATTGATCATACAGATGGCGGTAGAAATCAAGACAATATATTGAGACGACTGTGTGTGAATTGTATTATAATCCCAATGGGTAGCACGAGGTGGCACCAGTGGCTTGATATCAATTGATAATAAATTATTAATAAGAGCATGGACTCGCTCTTATTCAGCGCCTCTATATTACATCTTGAAATAAAAAAAGATAAATTATTTTTTCACTAGAATGGTTGAACTGCACAGACATTTGGGTTTAGCACGGACCTGAGCTCATGCACTGCGGTCGCATACATACACTTACATTTACATTTACATTTATGTTTCCATTTATACTTCCCGCTTATATTTACATTTTTCCATATAATTAATTAAAAATTAAGAAAACATTTTTTGAGTGCGAATAAAGTAGGAATGAATTTTAACGATCTGAGAAAGAAATGTATATCATGCAATTAAAAAAATTTTGCATATATAAAGCTATAGTCAATTATTATAATTTTGACGGTACGATAAAAAAATGTTGTTTTATTTTTTTTCCATTTATTTGTCTTATTTTTATGTATTAAATTTTCTGAAACATCTAAAAATAATTTGGATAGCAAAGGATAGTTAAATGTTATTCTTGAATTTTATTATCATGGTCTACAAGTTTCTTAATTTAAATAGTAGCATGTGACATTTTCGACTGATACATGTAAGAAGTCGTGCTGATAAATGTTCTTGCAAAATAATTTAATGTCAGGTTGTTGAATCGACATTGGCTCAACAATTAGAAAACGCGACAGACAATTTTGTTTTGCTTGCGGGAAAAGAATTTGAGCAACTCTTTGATGTTCGCGCAAACAAACCGTATTTACGTAGGCAATTCACACAGTACACGAAATAGACACACGCTGCGATCGCGTCATAATTCTTTCAACTAGATATGCAGATGGTTCGCGAACCGATCTCTGTACTTCAAAGGCAAATAAGAAAAAGCGCGGAAGGATATATTTGCGGCATTTGCCGGCCATTAGTTACGTTGGCGCAGAACCAACAATAACAGTGGCGGACTTTTAAAAGCTAGAGACGCGGGATTTTTCCTCGCATTTCAAACACCCCCCCTACACTTTCCATTCGTGGCTCGACGGTGCAGACATCGATCTGCCGTCTTTACTTATCTTTATCTGCGTACGTCTGCCGAACGTTCGATAAATCCTCCGACGAGTCCTCAAGCTTTGCGCTGGACTTGTATGTAAGATGCATGCTACAGCGAGTACATAGGAGAAAGAGATAGACGGGAGAGGTGGCACGGTGGAAAATTTATTCACCTCGCTCGTGTTTCCAGCGAGTCCCACTTTACTATCGTATTACGCTTGAGTTTAAGAGAGTTTATTTTAGCGGCATCTGCCAATATTATTACGTCAAAATCACGGCAGGGTCAAGTGGCGTAAATGAAGCCCTTGAATAACTAGGTCGGTACATCGATTTTTAATAATAAAATCTATAATTGTCATTTTTAATGCTGACTAGCGTGAACGGATGGACGAGCACTTTTTTTATCACTAACCATTTTTGTAGATTTTGTAATCACTAGTAATTTTTGGCACCGAAAATTTATCGTATTGTTCCATTTATGTGTGGCGCTTTTAATTATCTCGCTTTATCTTACGCATATTTCATATTCACTGACGAACTGATTTGAATTTATTGCGATTTTGCGATATTGCTAATGGAGATGCAGCTAAACTGGACCATTTCTTAAATTGGCCTGTTTCCATGTCTGTGGTTAATGTTTTTAACGGATAATTGCAAATATCTGAAATTTTACGTTAAAGTGACACAATACAGTTATTTCCGTAGTTAATCAGATATGTAAAAATCTTTTTAACCGATTTATCTCAATGACATTTCTCTTATCTTTTGATCTTTACGAGTATCTGATAAAGAAAACGGGTTGAAAATTTGGTTAATATTTGCATAATGGGAATTCATGCATAATGTAACCACTTTTTAATATCTTTGATTATGAGTCATTGTCTATCATAATCTTTTCCTTTCGTCGCTACGAATGATTCGACTCGATTGCGAGAAGTCATCAAATCGTTGATAAATTATAGTTCAGTTTTGGCTTTGATAAATTCAATATTTACATACGTTATGCCACCACATGTTTCGCATTAGAAATACTAAAGTCGGTCTGCAGACCACATAAATTCGGAACACATGCACAGGATGCATTAGAATTATACAAATAATCTCGGAGAAAGAGATCTTTCAAAAATAGAAGTTTTATTTAAGGATAATTATAAAGAATTATGAAATATTGATATCTTAATTTAAAGAGTTGGGAGATAAATAATTTTCGGCTTTCCGTTTTCGTTAAATAAAATTTTTTTCTAAACGATACAAAGAACAGTATGATCACTCGTCGCCAAATCTAGGACAAGAACTATGGCAGACAGATAAACACGTGGAATCATTCATTGTGATTCATGAACTCTCGTTTAACTAGCGCTCTGTGATGTATGTAAAAATCAATGTCAGTAATGTCATGCCAATAAATCCGTGATGCTCCTGCGAGACTTCTGGTTTCGGCCGCGACGTCGCGGTGCCTGCGACGTATGTTAACACTGACAAATACCCAGGAGAATTTATATCCGTAATCGACCGGAAACGCGAAGACTGGCCTAGATTTCGCGATGCAAACTTTCGAGGAAAAATCGTAATTTCGTAGATGAGCGCTTTGGGTATCCATGACTTTATTATGAATCCATCTGGCATTTTAGATGAAATAAAACGCTTAGGGCAAATAAATATTGTGATTGAAATGCTTAAACTTTAGTTCAAACGAATAAAACTTGTAGGTTGCGTCCTTTGCGGCCTTTTCATTGAGCAAGAGTGAAATTAGCTTGTAGTTTATTATTACAGTTTGTTATTTAATTTAAACACTGGTACTACATTCAAATCAGATGTAAAGTACTTTTTACAAGTTATGTACACTTAGTCTCGCACTGTCCGCACAAGATTCGCTTTGTGATTAAACGTTACAACATTTAACGAGGTTAATGGATAAACCGTAGAATTACATTCACCGCCATTCATTATAACTGTCGTGCCGGCAATTTTCCTTTGCGCGGCATAATTGGGTCGCTTTGTTGTTGCTTCTTTAGCCGTCGGCAAACTTGACTCATATGTGGTTAGAAAAATTTCGTAGCGCTTAGCAAAAATAACGAGCTAGTCGCGGAAGAGTCGTGCGAGATCGGAGTGTTGCATGCGCGTGACCCAATATGGAGAAAGTGAGTCTCTCTCTCTTTCCCCGTTATGTACCTACGTATTATTCAGCGATCGTTCAAGTGGCAATACTAAGATTGATTGACTAGGCGATCGGTATAAGTAGAATAGTGCATTCTTCGCGGATAAACGCACGCTCATTCATCTTCTCGCTTCCAGAAGGTTGAACATTATTACATATAGATGCAAAGCATTACGTGAGCAGCATATGCTATCTTTCACTTGGTGAGATAATACGAGACATAATGATATTGTTTTAGGAAAAAAAAAACGGCAACATTAGCAGTAAAAGCAAGTGACATTTTAAATGAGTAAATTAATCTTCACTTATTAATTTATAACTTTGTTATTCTACGTTGATTAATATAGAATAAATAATGACAAGAATATGTGTATAATTGCTATTTTTTTTTTTTTCTTAACTTGAAAAGAATTTTTTTCCTAGCTAAAATGTTAGACCAAAGTGCAATACAAAATAATAAATGGCTCGATTTAAGTGTTTGACCATGTTTTCAGTCAAGCATTCATATTTTTGGTTATACGTAGATCAAGAATATACCAAGCATTCTTATATACGTTTATTATTGATTAAGAATCGAGCCGGAAATTGACAGCTCTGAGGGATAGTATATTTTTCTCAGTATCTTTCTCGTTCTGTCTTGTAGCAAGTTGTTATTATAAGATAGAATGAAAAAAGTATTAAAAGACAAGAAGGATATTTTAATATCCTGTATATAGATCCCCCCCCCCAAACTTCATATTATGTATTTTATATATATTCACCAAAATTTTGTATACTTGATCTATGAAGAATATTAACAATTAACAAACGACCATTAGGCCATCTTCAGCGTACAATAATCGATATTTAATGACTGAAACGTTTGTTTAAACTTTTTACTTTTATAATTGATTATTTAAATAATGAAAACTCGATAATGAAAAACTTATTTGTTTACCTTTCTTTGTCGCTGCTATAAAAATGTTTCAAAGTTATAAGAAGGAACAAACTTTTATCAAGCAGAAAATAACAAAATAAAAATTGTTTATGTTTGTTCTACAAGTTAAACATTATCAAAATGAACGATAAAGTGTTTATGAATAATAATTATTAACGAATGTATAAACAAAAATATTTTTAAGTATTTTGCTCGCCGAGATAGTTGTAGTTAATAATCGTAAATATTCATAAATAAATTTATGAGTAATGGGTTTATAATACTTTATGAATATATTAGCGAATCACGCCGACTTCACTCGCGAGAGCTATGTCGCTTGAAACAATCGTACTTTGTACTTTTTGGAGGCTATTTGGGAAACACGGTGGCTGATTATTACTGTGACGAACGGTAAAACTCACGTGAATCGCACACGTGGCGAACTCAAAGGGAAATTATGAATTGCGAGCGAAGTACCGTCGAATTTCTCGCACGAATTTGGTGCCGTTGATTACGCGACCCAGTTAAACCGCGCGAACGCCACTGATGTCTTTCCGTATTGACGTATCGATAAATAAAATCTAACGTTGGCGTGACAGCATTTGATACACGACGCTGTATGACGCTGATTAAATTTTACATTGTGGACGTAGCGTTATGTTAGCAACAAAGATAATTAATGTATAGCATAAGGTCAGAGCGTTCAAATTTAGATTCTTAATTATCATTTATTAGACATAATAATTAAATATAAATAAAATATAAAATATTTACATTATATAAACATTTAAGCCTAATCAAGAAAAAAAGTTTATATTTCTTAAAATGAAAAGTTTCATAATTTCATTTCAATTCGACGCAGGAAGTTCAAAGATGGAAAAGGTTAAAGATCAAAAACATGTTTTCAACTTCGTATCTCAAATATTAAATTTTGCGAACTAATATTTATCTTCCTTTTTACGTTTAAAAATATAATAATGTCTCTTATATAAATATGACATAACAAGGAAAGAAATGAAATGATCATATTTGCACGGATGCAATTCATAGTATTGTAACAGAGTGTACGAAGATGTCAAGTAAAAATTTTAGAGAAACGGGAAAACGGGTCAGTCGATATCTGCACTCGAAATTTTCGAGAGATAAGAAACACCCGTTATGCGTCAATATTGTGACAGCCACACCGTAACATATTGCTGCTGCTTCGATAATATATTTTATGTACAACATTTGATTGAAATCCGTGTGTATCGTCAAATTCTCAGCATAAGTTTGAGATAACATGGGTTCACACACACATGTGCGTATGTGCGTTTGGAAAAGCTGAATTGGTATTTGCACAAGCCGAGTGGATTGAACGTGGGATCAGTATGTATTAAATCGTAAATGCAAATGGTTGACAAGAAATCCCTGATTCCGTCAATTGAGGCACTGAATAAATTTATTGCTGGGCGAATACCAATTATATATATGTATATGCAACAATTATTTAAATAAAATACAATATTTGCTACATGTGACCACAGTTTATGTTGTTGAATGCAAATATAATTATAAAATAAATAATAATAGATGATTATATCAAGAAATAATATAAATAATGATATATTAATTTTGTACAGTTTTACAATTTTTTTTAAGATTTATAAATTTTTAAGAATATTTTATAAATTTTTCTACTCTAATTTTCTCTCAATTTTGTGTCAAAGATAAGTACTTTTTTTTAAATTTGCATAATATTATTTCAAGAAAAATCACATTTTTAATCTTATTATTCATATAGTTTTCTCGTACGAAGCGTTATGATTACAGTGATTTTTTCTAATGAATCGACTGTTGGACTGCGTGTAAGAGAAATCAATACCATGTCGTAAGACAAACTTGATATAAGTTTCTTAATTGAATGGAGTACGTACATGACGTATCAGATTGACTTTTCAGATCTATCTATATTGAACATCACATCTCGAGACTAGTTTCAGTTAAAGTTTCTTAGCAAAAAGGCTATAATAGCAAACCTTATTAGTTGCATGCTTCATTAGTTGACGCTAAGATCAAAGGTCTATTATATCTATTTCACATGAAGATACTTAAGTGCCGAAGCGACGGAGATAACAATTTTAGATATAGCACTTTTGAATGAATTAAAAGCATTTATGCGAATGCGTGGGTGAGAAAGCATAGTTTGCTTTTAACTGTATTTGCATTTTCATCGGCAAAATAATTAATTATTAATTGGTGCATATGAAAATTGAAATAAGCTCTTCATATCATTTTGTACCTTATTAGTTGCATTTGCTGCGTTTGTTAAATTAAATAGAAATAAAATTAACGTGGCATCACGCGTATATTATGTGTAACGATATTTTAAATTATTTCAATTATTTCAAGTACAGGAGTTTTTATCCAATTTCATATTCTATAGAATGTTTTTTTAACTCTGGATAAAAATTGCATTAGTATGTAAATTTTAATATTAAAAAACTTTGGTCAATAAATTTGTACTTAAAAAAAGATCTAGTAAAAACATTTACAATATTATAATAATATAAAATTATTATAAAAATAATTATTACAATAGTATAAAAATTCAACGATGCATGTATAATGTACACCATTATTACACGCATATGTTAGAAAAATTTTAAAATTTGAAAATCGAGAGAGTTTATACACAGTCAATGTGCATCAATAATTTATTTCATGCATACAAAGTATAAATCGGCTTTAAAATACGTACCTTCGCTTCACCGTCAAAGTAAGAAACATTGTGAACGTCCCAAATGGACATAATGCAAGTGGTGGGGGATCGACAGTGAGAGATTTAAATGGAATGTGCTTGGTTTCCTAATACGGAATCGTGTTTGTCGCTGCTTCTTTCATACTTTCGTACTACAACCGTTATTAGCCCATAAAAGGTATAGTACGAAAAGTAAAGAAGGAAAGAAAAAATAATTGTAATATATATAAAAAATCATAAATCGTAAGAAAAATTATATTAAAAAACAACAAGTTTTGAAAATAAAATTTTGTATTTTAATTGTATAGGAAAAATTCAATATTTTTTAGCTATGATATGAATGACGATTTTATCATTAAATTATTATTAATAATCCTGAATTAAATAAATGAGTATAATTATGCATATATCGCGCTCGCAGCTGCCATTTCTTAATATTTTACAAAAGTGATGTTTCATATATTAAATTTATCGCAAATGAAACGAGACACGAATCTGTTTCTCTTATCAGTGATATATCGAAGTGCAATGTTCTTTTTTTATATAAAAATAGGAAATATACAAAGTAACCAAATATGTACATATTCGCAATTAACGATTACGATAAAATAAACTGTAATAAACTGTTACGAAACGTTAAAGGTGGTTATTTGTTGATGGATTGATATTAAGAAATACAAATAGAGCGAATTAATCGCATCAAATATGTTCGTGTAACATATTAAATAAATTTATATCAATAACCGATTAATCATTTTAATAACTCTTTAATTTTAATTAAATCGTAAATTACGTAGAAAATTAACTCTTTAATTTGATGGAGTTTATTATATTGAAATTATAGGCAATGAAGCGTAATAAAATAAGCTTCATATAAGAAAATATATAAATACAATTACTTTTTGCCATCAATATTGAACATTTGTAAGTGAAATCATTATTATAAGTATTGTTTAAATACAATAGAATCAGATTTAATTAAATTTAGATAATATTT